GGAAGCTGCGCTGAAGGGAAGTGCAAATGTGTAGCAGAGACTAAAGCGCCTTGAGGCAACTGTTGTTGTGATTTGGTGATATATAAATAAAAGTGAAGTGAACGGTGCAACAGCATCACAAAGAGCAAGACAACTCATCCAACAGGAAGGAAGGAAGGAAGGAAGGAAGGAAGGAAGGAAGGAAGGAAGGAAGGAAGGATGGATGGATGGATGGATGGATGGATGGATGGATGGATGGATGGATGATTTTTTTGTTCCTCTTCCCATCACTTGGCTATGATTTAGCTACTTAGCTGAAATGCAGTCCATGATTGTCCATCATGTGGCTGAAGACAGCACAGCTACACCTCAAAGTCAGGAACACTCAGTTACAGTCATTACTTCCTGCACAAACACAATGTTTGAATGCTTTCTATGACTTGTGTGTACTTGCTCTTTAAGGACACCATTTCAAGTCAGTCAGTGTAACGTATATTTTAGTCCTCAGCTGTAGGTGTGAGGCTGATCTGTCAGCCAATCAGCTTCCAGATCACTGCTGCAGAGAACATTTGAATTTTGCAAATAATTCCCTCGGAGGATTGGACTGACGTAATGGAAGTAAAAAAAAAAAAGAAAGAAAAGGAGCTATTTATCATTTTCTCTAACACACACACACACACACACACACACACGCCTGCACTCCTACACTCGTGAGGACACAGTTCCAGTCTAAATCTCTCACAGATCAATATCTTGCTCTTCTCTGTATTTGACTCTTTATTACTCTGAAAACATTCAGGCATCTGCTGCTTTACACAACAACGTGTTAGATAAAGGTTAGAGCACACAAAGATCGCACACTCAATCGGCTGACATTTAAACAATTACAGACTGATTATTACGTTTAATATGAGTTTCTGTCACAAACTGTTTGACTGTCTCAGTCGGCCGGAGCCTGCTGCTCAGGTTTAAATGCTGAGGCTCTGAAGCTGAATTTGTGTCGTGTTTGTGCATTTACAAAGCTTATTGGTGACACAAAGTAATGGAAATTCAACAAAGGCTACAGAGATGCAGCTGCATGCTGAAGTTTTCCAGCAGCGTCA